TTTGGCAGCGAGTGGGGGGTCAGTTGTGGGGCTTGAACTCTGGGCCTGGGCGCTGTCCCTGAGCTCTTCAGCTCAAGGTGAACACTCTACCACTTGAGCCATAATGCCACTTCCGGTGTTCTGAGTGGTTTATTGAAGATAAGAGTCTCAGACTTTCCAGCCTGGGCTGGCTTTGAACTTCGGTCCTCAGATCTCAGCCTCCTGGGCAGCTAGGATTATGGTGTGAGCCACTGGTGCCTGGCTCTCTTCTTAATGTCTTCTTTTTGTCTACTGCCACCTTCCTCTCCCTGCCCTCTCTCTCATTCCTAAGCATGGTCCTCTCTCCTCCATTCCAAGTGGTAACAGGGCCAGGCTTTCTGCATGCCAGCCCTCCGTTTCCTGTGGAATTGGGTCAAGTCGGGCTATTAGGTGGCTGACGGGTAATGGCTTTCAGGTCCCGCACTCGGGACGGATCTTCCAGCTTCTGTCCAGCTTGGACTCTCACTTACCTCTCTTGTTTCTCCAGCCCATGCAGATCAATGGCAACTTCTGTGGGCTGGTGTTGAACCAGCCTTTGGGTGGCCTGCATGTGATCGAGGGGTTACCGCTGCTGGCTGACAGCACGGACGGCATGGCCAGTGTGGCTGCCTACACCTACCACCAACACTCCGTGGTCTTCATTGGCACACGCAGTGGCAACCTGAAGAAGGTAGGCCCTGGCACCCTTGGCGTGGCTCTGTACAGAGAGTGCTGGGAGGCCCTGGACAGAGCATGATGACTTCGTAGGCTACAAGAGTCCAGCCAAACTCAGCCAGCCATCCTACCAGTATGATTTGTTGGACTGCAGGGGCCGCCTTTGTACCCTGTTTCCCCTGCCTGGCTGGCACTGTGGATATGAGAGCTTTTGACCCGAGTAGGTTCTAACTTCAGCTCAGCCACAACCTACCAAGTCCCTGGCTGAAGAAGGGCAGGCCTGGGGTGCAGGGGGCTGTGCTGTGACGAGGCTGCTCTGGCATCGCTCTGCCCTGCTGTTGGAACTCAGGTGCGGGTTGATGGCTCTCAGGATGCTCATCTGTACGAGACAGTCCCGGTGGTGGATGGCAGCCCCATACTCCGAGACCTGCTCTTCAGCCCTGATCACCAACATATCTACCTCCTCAGTGAGAAGCAGGTGGGCCCGAGGTGGGTGGTGGTGGGTGGGGGGGCGGTCAGGGGCTGGGTGCTGATATGGCTGTCCCCAGGTGAGCCAACTCCCAGTGGAGACGTGTGAGCAGTATGTGAGCTGTGCGGCCTGCCTGGGCTCGGGGGACCCGCACTGTGGTTGGTGTGTGCTGCAGCATAGGTGAGGGCGCTGGGTGCCGGATGGGGGTGGGGATGGGTTCCCTGGGAGACAGGGCTGAGCCGAGGAGAGCTCTGCCAGTGGGCCAAGAAGCAGCCGCCTCTGCCATGCCCGCCTTCACCTGTGCTTCCTCTTCTCCCCAGTCGTGCCCTTGAGTCTTCCTCTCCCTCCCTCCGGCACTCTCTGCAGCTAATGAGCGGAACCTCCACCCTGAGTGACGTCCCTTGGACCCCAGGGGATGGGGCCCAGGCACTCTGTTGCTTGGCACTGTGGGCTGGGTAGTCTGTCCCTGGTTCTCCCCCGCCTCCAGCTTCTCACTGCACCCCTTCCTGCATCCTCCTGGGGCAGGTGCTGCCGTGAAGGAGCCTGTCCAGGTGCCTCTGCCCCCCATGGCTTTGCGGAGGAACTAAGCAAATGCGTACAGGTGCGGGTCCGGCCCAACAACGTGTCAGTGACATCCCCCGCGGTGCAGGTACGTGGCATGGAGGGGGCGTGGGGCCAGGAGCACTGTGTGGAGGGTGCACCCTGCTCTGAGCCCTCTGCCTCTCTCAGCTGACTGTAGCCATGCGCAACGTGCCAGACCTCAGTATGGGAGTGAGCTGTGCCTTTGAGGAGGTCACGGAGAATGAGGCTGTCCTGCTGCCCTCCGGCGAGCTGCTCTGCTCCTCGCCCTCACTCCAGGAGCTGCAGACACTTACCAGGGGACATGGTCAGTGGGTTAGGAGCATCTGTCTGGGGGGGCAGTTTCTTCTTTATGGTCAGCCCTTGACCACCCTGGTGCTTGCTGCAGGGGCCATGCACACGGTGCGGCTGCAGCTGCTCTCCAGGGAGACGGGCACGAGGTTCGCTGGGGCTGACTTTGTCCTGTACAACTGCAGCGCTCTCCCGTCGTGAGTACCTGGCCCAGCTCCTGACTCTGCGTGGGGAGACAGGGCTGCTGTGGGATAGGCGAGGCCCCAGGACTTCACAAGTCAGCTGCTGGGCCTCCCGGATCCCTAGTTCCACTTCTCTTTGCCCTTGAATAGGATCTGCTACCTTTGCCTTTGTTTCCCTGTGTGTCCTGTGGGAGGGCAATGCAGGGTAGTGTGGCCTTCTCTGCTATTTCTTTTTTATTTTTGTCCATCATGGGGCTTCAACTCGGGGCCAAGGGGCTGTTCCTGAGCTCTTCAGCTCAAGGAAAGTGCTCTACCACTTGGGCCACAGCACCACTTCCCGTTTTCTGGTGGTTAATTGGAGATAAGAGTCTCATGGAGGGGCTGGGAAGGTGGCTCAGTGGTAGCGCGCTTGCCTTGCATGCCTGAGGCCCTGGGTTCAATTCCTCAGCACCATATAAGCAAAAAGAAAAAAGCTGGAAGTGGCGCTGTGGCTCAAGTGGTAGAGCGCTAGCCTTGAGCTGAAGAGCTGAGGGACAGCGCCCAGGCCCAGAGTTCAGGACCCACGACCGGACCCCCCTCCAAAAAAATAGCATAGCCCCACTGTGTTCCAGACCGTCTTGTATCTTCAGCTCTGTCCACACTTCTAAAGAATACCCTGACATTCCCTGACTATGGTCTGTAGCTCCCACTGGGGCACACCTGCCGATATCTTGGCCCCACACTCATTAATTAATGCTGCTGTGATTTAAAATAGGGTGGCCCAGAAAGCCTTGACTTAGTGAGTCAAGGGGAAAGCTAGGGAACAGAGAGCTCCAGACAGGGAAAGGACAGTGCAAAGGCCCTAAGCAGTGGGCCTGGTGGGCTTCAGAAAGGGTAAGGAGCCAAACATGGAGTTCTCAGAGTAACAATGAGAGTAAAGGGAAGGAGGCCTGCACAGCACAGGCTGAAGGGCTTGAACTCAGTGTGTATATATACACACACGTGTGTGTGTGTTGCCAGTTCTCAGGCATGTGAAGCAAACCTTTGACTACTCAAGCTTCACAGCAGGACCAGGAATTTGGCTTTGACATAGTAAGAGGGAAGTCCCTTGGAGGAGGGTTCAGAACAGAACAGTGCAGACAGGACTTGGAGTGAAAAGTCATGTGACATCATTAGAAGTAAATTCATGGGGCCCAGAGATTGTGGTGGTGGTGTAGAACTGCACGCATCTGCTGAACTTCTTGAAAGCACACTAAAGGGGCCTGAATTATTTAATATGTAAATGTGAATACACATGAGTTAATCCACAGATAATCAAAGGATTATGATTCCAGCTCAGGACAAAAGGAAGTCATAGGATATCATTTTTGCTGTCACCTTACAATGAATCAAAAGAGGTATGGTTTAAAATATTACCCTTAGAGGCTGGTTGCTGTTGTCTCATGCCTATAATCCTAGCTACTCAGGAGGCTGAGATCTGAGGATTGAAGTTTGAAGCCAGCCTGGACAGAAAAGTCCCATGAGACTTACCTCCAATTTTAACCACCAGAAAACCAGAAGTGGTGCTGTGGTTCAAAGTGGCAGAGTGGTAGCCTTGAGTGAAAAAGCTCAGGGACAACACCCATGCCCTGAGTTGAAACCTTACTACCAAATACATATACATACATACATACATACATACATACATACATATATATATATATATATTTATTTATTTATTTATTTATTTATGTAGCCCTTGGTCTGAGAGTGTAGCTCAGTAGTGGAATGTCTGCCTAGCATGCATGAGGCCCTAGGTTCTTCCCAGAGCACAACAAAATAAAAATAATAAAAATAAAGAGGAAATGGCGTTGTGGCTCAAGTGGTAGAGCACTCGCCTTGAGCTGAAGAGCTGAGGGACAGCGCCCAAGCCCAGAGTTCAAGCCCCACGACCAACAAAAAAACAAACAAACAAACAAATAAATAAAATAAAGAGAAGCTGGGTACTAGTGGCTCACACCTGTCATCCTAGCTACTCAAGAGGCTGAGATCTGAGAATAGCAGTTCAAAGCCAGCCCTGGCAGGAAAATCTGTGAGACTCTTATTTCCAATAAACCACCAGAAAACCAGGAGTGGCGCTGTGGCTCAAGTGGTAGAGTGCTCACCTTGAGCTGAAGAGCTCAGGGACAGCACCCAGGCCCAGAGTGCAAGCCCCACAACCAACATAAATAAATAAATAAAATAAAGAGAAAAGGTTTAAAATACTGCACTTGCATGGTGCTGGTGGTTCACACCTGTAATCCTAGCTAATCATGAAGCTGAGATCTGAGCACTGTAGTTTAAAGTCAGTAAGGGCAGGAAAGTTCCAAAAGTGGAGTTGTGGTTTCGATGGTAGAGCACTGGCCTTGGGCTTTGGAAAAAGCTAATGGACAGCACCCAGGTCATGATTTCAAGCCCCCATACTGGTGCAAAAACAAAAATAAAAACAAAACACCTACTGGGGCTGGGGATATGGCTCAGTGGGAGAGTGCTTGGCCTGACAGGTGTACAGTCTGATGTCCTATGGATACAACTTACAACTTATAGATACAACCAAGTATCTTATGGATACAAAGTCCTATGGATACAAGCAAGGAGGAAAATGCAACCCATATTGGGGAGAGAAAGCAATCACAGGAAGACATTGAGTGGAAGAGTCACGCCTGCCTTTACTCTGAGAAAACACAATCATACTTAGGGGAAATCCCATGGCATCTAAACAAATGCTGCTAGACTGCACAGAGCAAAGCTGCAAAACGGTGTGCACTGTACTTTATCTTAGAGTGCCAACTCCTTCCCTAAACATTTTCCCTGGTTTCCCCTGCACTTTTCCTCACAAGGCAAATAAGCCACTGAACCCTTATCTTGGTGTTTCTGGGTAGCTTGTTCTCATGTACAAAAAGCCCTGTTGTGCACGCATGCATTATTTTTTGTTGTTGGTCGTGGGGCTTGAACTCAGGACTAGCACTCTTCCACTGTGAACCACAGCTCCACTTCTGGTTTTCTGGTGTTTCATTGGAGTCTCATGGACTTTCCTGCCTGGGCTGGCTTTGATCTCAGATCTCAGTCTCCATGGGCCACTAAAACCTGGCCACAAATCTTTTTTTTTTGTCAGCAATGGGGCTTGAACTCAGCCTGGGCGCTGTCCCTTAGCTCTTCAGCTCAAGGCTAGTGGTCTACCACTTGAGCCACAGTGCCACTTCCAGTTTTCGAGTGGTTTATTGGAGATAAGAGTCTCAAGGACTTTCCTGCCTGGGCTGGCTTGGAACCGGGATTCTCAGATCTCAGCCTCCTGAGTAGCTAGGATTACAGGTGTGAGCCACTGGCGCCCAGCTGGGTTTTTTTTTAAACTGTATTTTTTATTCTTTTTTGGTACTGGGGATTGAACCCAGGACGTTGTACTTGCTAGGCAAACGCTTTGCCACTGAGCTACATCCCAGCCCAAAGGCTTATTTTTTTGTTTTGTTTTGTTTGGGGTTTTCTGGTGATTAATTGGAGATAAGAGTCTCACAGATTTTCTTGCCCTGGCTGGCTTATGAACTGAGATCCTCAGATCTCAACCTCCTGAGTAGCAAGGGATTACAGGTGTGAGCCACCAGTGCCCAACAAATCTTTTTTTTTTTTGTCG